AGGGAAGGGAAGGGAAGGGAAGGAGACACGACAGGTTTGGTTGATCCATCCATGGCTGAGGGACACGTGAGTGTGAGGAGCAGCTCTAGTTTTCCTGGCCAGGCAAGGTGTGAGGGGTGCTCTCACACATTAGCATTATCTAGCTGAGTAATGAAGGCATCTTCCTTGCCTAATGAAGGCTGTTCTCCTGAATAATGAATGTTGTCACTGTATCTCCCAGCTGTCTCTCTCCCCAGGCAGGGGGGGCTTTGCGTTCTCCTCACCCAGCCCGGCCCAGCCACGGCGGTGTGGCCCAGCATCTCTGCTCCTCAGGGACGGTTTGCAGAGCAGCCATGCTGAGGTGTTGCAGAGCTGTGTCTGGCATGGCCAGAGGGGACCAGCCAGCCTTGCAGCTGCTGCATGAGTTTTCTCCAGGTTGGCGGTAATGGCATTAAATGGCTGAGCCGGTTTGGGCAGGCAGGCACCAGGCATCTGTTTCGTGGGTCCCTGCGTGTGGCGCAGCCGGACACGCCAGAAGGTGACCTGCTAATTCCATTACAGTTGTGTGGTCTGCGGATTAGTGTTGCTAAAAGTAAAGTTACGTGTGCTTCGAGATAAGCCTGCCGAGTAGTAAACATGCAGGGCCACCCCAGCCTGGCCACCCCCTTGCACGAGGGGAGGAAGGGTTTTTAATGCAGTGGAAAAGCGTGATGTTTCCGTGCCTGGAGGAAGGTGGGACAGTGGCTATGTGTTTTCATGGGGAAAAACATGTTAATGAGGCACCAGCTGAGCAAGATATGTTAATGAGATATTGATGCATACGATATCGACCTAGTGGAGCTTGCTAATGAGACATCGACCATGCCACCGCAGTGCTGGGGCATTGCACCAGGAAGGCCATGGTCATGCCAGGCCCTGGGCGCCTGCTGGTGCTCCCCACGTGCCGGTCATTTTTAACACGAGGTGTCACGCTGGTCGGTCAGGCATGGCTATGGCCAGGAAACGTCCTACCCACGTGTGAAGCTACGCAGAGCTTTGCTTTCTCCTTTATTGCTGAAACACGTGAAATGAACTACGCTAAACTGGAAAATGTGACAGAGTCACCCTTGGGGGACCACACATGGGCCACAGGCTGCAAAATTAGAAAAAAACTGCCCATGATATAGATGTTTGCCCAGGCAATTCCCATCTGACATTTGTGAGCACCTTCTTTATGTGTATATAGATAAGTAGCAATAACTGGCTCACATCATAAAAAAAAATTCATAACAGAAAACCCAACAAGGTCCAGGTAGCATGCAGGTGCTCTGCATGGAAGCATCACCAAAGGCTTGCCTTTCAGAGCACTGTGTGGTGACCCACCACAGAAAATTTTAATGATGATTGACTATTTCTATGCCTAGTGGTTTTGCAGCCAGTGGGAGTCTTGCTGAACTTCTTGCTATTGCAGAAGACAACTGCGAGGTCTGGTTTGGTGGCCTGAAGATCTGAAGACAAAAACTCAGATGGAGATTCCTGAGCCTTCAGCAGGGCCAAGCATTACACATCACATCAGAGTACCTGAAGGTTTTCCACAAGACAAGACCATCTCCAGATACAGAGATAGTTCCCATAGCAGAAAATGCAGAAGATCTGAGGGTGATTGTGGAGGGATGATCAGAGCAGGCTCACCAATTTTTCCCTGCAGACATAGCCATAAATCAAGACAGTGAATGGAGGAGCAGAAGGAGATAAATCCCAGCAAGAAAAGCCATGCCAGGCATTTCTCAAGCACCGTGCAGAGGCTGACAGCCTGAAGGCTGAATCCAGGTTGATGGATCCAATCTGGATCTGCTTCCAGGTGCTTGCAAGAAGGAGATTTGGACTGCAACACCTGAATAAAACCTTCCCTCCAAAATGCTGCAGGCAGCAAATGTTCAGGAAGTTTGAGAGAGAGAGGACAGTCAGAAATTCATACAAGAGAAGAGTTAGAAATGAAGGCCCCATGGCCCCTGGGCAGCAAATATTGCAGGGGGTGTGGTCTGGGTTTAAGAGCATCCCCAGCATCCCGGCCTGGGAGGACAGGGAGCAGCGAAACCACAGAGGGTGTTGACAACAAGCGTGCAAACGCAACCAGCACACAAAGCCATTCGTGGCCTTGTAGTAGCATGTTGTTTCCCTTGTTCTGCAGAGTGCCCCTACCACAAGCCCCTGGGCTTCGAGTCTGGCGCTGTCACCCCTGACCAGATAAGCTGCTCCAACCCTGAGCAGTACACGGGTTGGTACTCCTCCTGGACAGCCAACAAGGCCCGCCTCAATGGCCAAGGCTTCGGGTGAGTCTGAAAACGCCCCCCATGAGGGGTCCCATGGGCAGGCGGGTGTGAGGGGCTGGGGGTCCCCTGGCAGTGTGGGGGCAGGAGGGGCAGGACGGGAGGGCATCCGTGGAGGATGTACGGGGCTGGTGGTGTCCCCCCAGGTGCGCATGGCTCTCCAAGTACCAGGACAATGGGCAGTGGCTGCAGATCGACCTGAAGGAGGTGAAGGTGATCTCGGGGATCCTCACACAAGGGCGCTGCGATGCTGACGAGTGGATGACCAAGTACAGCGTGCAGTACCGCACCGATGAAAACCTCAACTGGGTTTACTACAAGGATCAGACTGGGAACAACCGGGTTGGTGGACTTCATGCTTTGGCCACTGGTGGAGGGGAGGGGGAGCACATTTGGTGATATGAAAGCATCGGGTCCCAGCGGGGATATGCCCCAGGAGGGGTTCCTGTGGGAGCAGCAGGGGTGGACAGGGCCTGGCACTCACCCCATATCCAGGGGCAGCATGGAGGGGAGTGTCATCCTCCCCTGGTGCTAAGAACAAGTGCCATACTGACCAGCCGCAGAAGTACAAAATGCATTTTTTTGCTCATGATGATGGTGGCATTGAGAATAAACTCACCAGGATGGAGGCATCAGCAGGCACTGAAGGAGAAGTGGCACCTCCATGATAAAATGCCTTTCTTTGCTGGGGCCGCACAACTCCATCTGTGCCTGAGCACTGCAAAATGGGGGCTCCTGCTTCTGCCTTAAGTCCAGGCACAACGCTGATGCAGAAAACCCGCTGAGACAAAATTCTCAACTAGTTAAGTCACAACCCACCGACCTGTTTTCATGCGGCACTTCTTAGTGGTTGGTTTGAAGCAAAAAAATTGCACTTGGGGGACCCTACAGTGGTGTCCATAGCCCCTGTGCAACCCAGCTGGGCTGGGGGATGCCACAGCTGCTGCCTCCCAGGCGTCTTTGGTGTCCATCCATGGGGATGGCCCCATTGCAGCATCGGAGGCTCTGGTGGCTTTGCAGGGTTCCTGCAGCCCTGGAGAGGTGCTGAGCTTTCTCCCAAAAACAGGTCATGGCAGTGGGAGACATGGCAGCACAGCCAGGCAGTGGGGAAGGGCCCCCCAATACATCTTTTTGTCTGTATTGGTGTGTCTGGGAGCCTGACTCCTGAACTGCAAACAGCCAAGGTCAGCCACACTGACTCCAAACACATGTTGCATTGCTGGAGGAAGGCAAATCAGAGAGAGTGGGGGGAGATTAAGTCTAGCCTAACCAGAAAAAGTGGAGGAACAATGCGGGGAAAGGGACTTACTCAGAAAACGCAGTCAGTGTTACAAAAATCATCTGCATCCTGATATTTTTCAAGTTTTTTATTTTGGGGGTGGGGAAGAGGGACCTTCCTCCGCCTCTGCTCTGCACAAGCACCCCAAACTCATGGGGCAGGATTTCCAGCCCCCTAACCGCCCACCCACACCTCTCTCCCCAGGTTTTCTATGGCAACTCAGACCGCTCGTCCTCGGTGCAGAACCTGCTGCGGCCGCCCATCGTGGCCCGATACATCCGCCTCATCCCGCTGGGCTGGCACGTGCGCATCGCCATCCGCATGGAGCTCCTCGAGTGCCTGGGCAAGTGCGGCTGAGCGCCGTCTCCTGGGGCGGACGTGCAGGTGTCTGCCTGTGCAGCCACCCCATCTCGCCACCGACGCCTGCTGTGGCCGCGGTCCTGCGGTGTAAATGCCCAGCCTGCAAAGGGAAGGGCTGTCTTGAATAAAATGTTGCTTCGCACCACGCCTGGTGATAAAGCTACACCCTGCTGTGGAGCTGAGGGGTGTTTATGGGGCACGCATTGGGCAAGTCGAGTCGGTTCGTGGCCGCAGCTTTGATCCTGTGAGATGTGGTGCTTCTGGCCCTCCCTGGGTGTTAGATTGGGGAAATCATTGTCACAGTGTGCTGTGGAGGCCAAAATAAATGCAGATGGGGTCCAAAGGCAGGGCTTGGGCTCTCTTGGGGAGGGCAGGTCTGCGCTTCATTATTCTGCCTGCTTCATCCTTGGGCAGCCCTCACCACTCCACCGGGGCCAGGGAGGGCTCTCACACTGGGGCAGACATCTCATCCTGCTTTTCCTCGTGCTCCTCCTGCTGATCTCTGCCATCCCTGAGACAGGGTTGGGGCCAGATCTGGCCAGTCTCCAATATGACAGGTCCCACCTGTGTCTCGCATTCTGAAATCTCCTCATGTCCCCCTGTATCAGGTCCCCTCGGCCTGAGCTGCTGAGGCGGTTTTTGGGACAAGCGTCAGTCCTTTGTGCAGTGGGTGGCTGAACCCCCTCCATGTCCTCTCCGGTTTTGCACTGACACATCCCTGGCAGCCCAGGGCACATCGCTCCCCTCTGTTTGGGCACAGGAACAGGGACTTGTTTTCATTTACTGCCTTGATCTCCACGGCCCATTTCCCAGTGGCTGTTGAGTGCCTGAGGAATTTGGGGTGCATGGCAGCCGTGATGGTGCACCCATCTCCCCAGGGAGAATACCCCCGGGGGTTATGGCTTGTGCCCCTGCCCAGGAACTGGAACCCAGCACGCCCCAGCCAGGAATCACGGACGTTGCAGCTCCCTTGTGTGAAGGTTGTCGGGGGCTCCAGGGTGACAGCCACTGCTTGGCTTCCCACGTGTCTGCAGCAGCAAACTGGCAGGCACCAGATGCCTTTTTCCTATTAACAACCTTTTAACAACCCATACATCCATCCCAAAGAGTCGTGGCATTGGCACTGGAGGGAGGAGAGGCACAAAGACAACGGCACCAAGGGAGGCCATCTGCCTCTCATGCCCTCTTCTTACCCCTATGGGCAGAGAGGCAAAAGCTTGGTGTGCAGGGCTGGAGAAGAGGTGTGACTAAAACCAAGTGAGACGTGACGAAAACGATGAGAAAAGCCTTTGGATGTCTGTGCAATTTGTCACATTTTATTCATTTGTGAGGGCAGATGTTTCTGCCTTGTTTTTTCCTGTATATACAGACAAATAATAATCACAGAATCACAGAATTTTTAGAGTTGGAAGGGACCTCTAGAGATCATCTAGTCCAACTCCCCTGCTAAAGCAGGATTGCCCAGAGTACATTACTCAGGAATGCATCCAGGCGGGTCTTGAAAATCTCCAGAGAAGGGGACTCCACAACCTCCCTGGGCAGCCTGTGCCAGTGCTCTGTCACCCGAACTGTAAAGAAGTTTTCCGTGTATTGGAACGGAACTTCCTATGTTCCAACTTGTGCCCATTGCCCCTCGTCCTGTCACTGGGAACCACCAAGAAGAGTCTGGCTCCATCCTGCTTCAACCCACACTTTAGATACTTGTAAGCAACAATAAGGTCTCCTCCCCTCAGCCTTCTCTTCTCCAGGCTAAAGAGTCCCAGGAGCCCAAAACTGGACACAGTATTCCAGTTGTGGCCTCACCAGTGCAGAGTAGAGCTGGAGAATGACCTCCCTTGACCTACTGGCCACACTCTTCCCTATGCAGCCCAGGATTCCATTGGCCTTTTTGGCAACAAGGGCACATTGCTGGCTCATGGACAATTTACTATCTACCAGGATCCCCAGATCCTTCTCCTCAGAGCTACTTCCCAGCAGGTCCACCCCTAACCTATACTGGTGCCTAGCATTCTTCCTCCCCAGGTGCAGGACCCTGCACTTGCTTATGTTGAACCTCATTAGGTTCCCCTCTGCCCAGCTCTCCAGCCTGTCCAGGTCCCGCTGGATGGCAGCGCGGCCCTCTGGAGAGTCAGCCACCCCTCCCAGTTTGGTATCATCAGCAAACTTGCTGAGGATACAGTCTGTCCCCTCATCCAGGTCATTAATGAATATATTAAACAAAATTGGACCGAGTATTGACCCCTGGGGGACACCACTGGTTACAGGCCTCCAACTAGACTTCGTGCCACTGATCACAACCCTCTGAGGTCAGAGGAAATATGCTGTCAGGAAAATACGCTGTTCTGGCAAGTCTGAAAGCTTCTGCTTTACTATACTAACGGTATGAAGTCAACAGAGATGTAGAAAAGACCAAGCCCCACCTGCTGAGATGGTGGCTATTATGTGACCATCACTCCCTTGCAGTCAGAGCTTTTGTATTAGTAACATCGACACTGAAAGCTGAAGCATTTCCAGTCTCCGGACACAGTTGCCATCACATTAACACACTCTTCTCCCCTAAAAGTAGCGCGGGCAGCTCTGTCCCATGTGATGGTGACTAGAGGGGAGGAGTCTCGGTGCTTGGTGCTGTTGTTTTGTTGCATGACTGAGGAGTGGTGGGACGGGGTTGGAGGGGTGAATGGACAGACTGGGCACCAGCTGAGGTATATCTGTAGCACCACAAAGGAGTTAAGATTGACTGTAACCACTCAAGGCCTTGGCTGTGACTGGCCTCTGAAGAGTTCCCAGGCACAGTTCAGGGTTTTGCAAGTTGTCTGGTTTTGGAAATGCACCCTGCGGCAAGGGCCAAGAATTCCTGCGTAATTTGAAAGTGCTCACAAGCTTAATCCACGGTCTGAGTAGACGGACCACATGCCATCATATACCAAGGCACCATACTAAATAATGTATCTTCCCATGGCTGATCCTACACATGGGATATAATAAAGCCTTAGAGGAAGAAAAGACTGCCTAGGTAGAAGGTAGGTGCTATCACTCTTCCAGCCTCCCAGCTTCAAAGAAATCACTAGACCCTTCTTCCAGATTGAAATGTACAGCGATAAATAAGGTGGAACTAACTGGCATCCACTGAATTTCACAGTTCATTTGCTTCTTGCCTCACCCTGTCCTCTGCCTGCAGTTCACCTCTCCAGCTTGCGCAGGGAAGGCACCTACTTCTGGCTTTCATCTGCAATGTCTAAATGGCTGCTGCTACAGCAGGAGTTTCTGTTCTGATCCTAGCTATGCAGCTCGCTTGCTAATTGACCTTTGGAAATTCACTTAACCTCTGGCTCTTATCTAAAAAGAGGGGTGCTGAGAGGCTTAATTAAGTGGTCCTAAAATGCTTTTAGAATTGCACTTGACTTCCACCTCTGCATAAATGCAGCATGTTGGAGTAACAGTGTGACTGAGGGCGTTATGAAAGCAGGATAGAAGCACCCAAAATACAATTACAAAAATACAAAGCTTTTCCTCATAAAGTCTAACTTTTTCTAACATATCACTATCATTTTAATTTACCAGCACAGATGCCTCCAATGACAATTAATCAGAACAGAGCCAGCAACTGAGGCTGCAGGGGATGATGCAAAACAGTGCTGAATTTATCTTCTAGCATTTACCTTCTAGAAGTGAAAATCCTGCAGGTCTTTACCCGCAGAGGTAGGGACACCAATGCATGGCTTTGCAACAGTGTAAAACAAAACAGGTTTGAAATAGGAGGCAGGACCGAGAGCTGCCTTCAGCTTCGTGACCTGAATTTTCAGTCTGGGATGCTTACAGGGAGAAGTGAGGGAACGGTGCTGAGAAGTCAAGCTTGCCCAACCTAAACTATGTGATAAGAGACTGCCTCAGGCCTCCAGACCAGCCATAACATTTGTAAATCAATAGCCCCTTTCTCTTAATGGCTAGAGGAAGGAATTATCCCTTTACAGCTGTCAGAGAAAAATGCTCACACCCACTCTGCTCCCCATCCCATGGGGGACCAATGCTGACTACGCATTGGTAGTAGGTAGTAGCCCTGCAGGGAGTACAGAAAAAGCCACCGAGCGGCTGGGGTCACTACAACGAGATCCTTGAAAGAGTAAGAGCGAAGTGAGGTTGTAGGAGTAAACCCAAGTCCCCAGAGAGCTGGGCACCTCAAGGAAAAAGGCATTTCAAAGGCATTTCTGGCTGGGACTGTTGAAATGCTGGTGGAAGTGAAAGCCACTAGTTTAGGCCAGCAGTTTCCCTGTTCAGGAGGTGATGGGCGCAGCTCCGTGAAGGCAGCAGGCAGCAGCCTGGTCTCACAGCAGCTGTGGCACCACCCATCAGGTGGCTCTTTCCGAAGGATCTGAACAGAGTGTAAGTCCTGTTTTTCAGCAAGTCTGCTGCTGGAGCACAGAGGGAAAGAAGGGAGGCCACAGAAAAGTGGTCCCTACGCCTCAGTTTGTTTCCAATTACCCTGAAGAATGAGGGACCAGCAGAGAAATATTTAAAAGTTTTTTAAAGCTGTACAAAATAACAAAAAAAAAAAGTTATGGTCAGTTCACGTTAAAAAGGAACCCATCAAAAAGTGTATCGCTGACACCCGAATGTTTGCCTAGAAGAGTCTCAGCTTATGTGTGGCAGTGCTGAGGTGCCAACATGCTACCCAAAGGGTGGATCCCCTTCTGCAGCAAAGACAATTTCAGGGCTGGAAACTTTCAGGGCCTTTTAATTTCTGGGTAGTGCCTGCTGAGGAGATTGGTGGGTTGATACTGTTCAGAAGAGAGAACAGCAGAAATTTTTGCCCCGAAAGGAAGAAATGCCCCCATGTCTGCAATGAGACTACAGCCACAGTGGGCAACAAGGTGCTTCAGACCTGTGTTGTCCGTGCTCCTGTGGAAACATCAGGCTTGTGGACAGATACAAGCTGGCTTCTCAGATGGGGAGTTAGCCAGGACCTGGCCACAACCCGTCGGGCAGAGAAGCCCTGGTGCAGGTCTGGCCTGTTCTGCCCATCCGAGCCACACTAACGCTCGGGGAGGCGCGCTGGAGGAGATGTGTCAGGAATAAGATCAGCCATTGAGCAATGCCAGTGTTCTAGTGCAAAATCTGCATTTTATTAAAGAC